AGGCTGGGGCCCCCGCTGCTGCAGCGGGGGCCCCCCCCAGCCCCTGCGGGCTGCTGCTGCTGCTGCTGCTGCTCCCTGCAGCGAAACCCTCCTCCTCGCAGCTGTAAGCCCCCAGAGGGGCCCCACACGGAGAAGACATCGGGGGGCCCCCGGGGGCCCCCTCCCAAGAAGGAGAAGCGCAGGACCCTGGGGGGCCCCCCCGGGGCTCTGGGCGCTGCCGCAGCCGCGCGGAGAAGCGGCTCCCGGCCTCCCCCGCTGCTGCTGCTGCTGTTGCTGCTGCTGCTGCTGCTGCTGAACCCTCAGGGTCCTCCTTCTTCGCGTCTCCTGGGGGGCCCCCCTCCTCAGGGGGGCCCCCCTCCACAATGAACACGTACCCCACAGCCCGCCGCTTGCGCCCGCTGGGCTGCGCCGCCACCTCCCCCTCCTGCTGCTGCTGCTGCTGCTGCTGCTGCTGCTGCTGCTGCTGGGGTTCGAACGGGGAGGGGGCCCCCGCGTCGGAAGGGTCCTCCTCTAGGGCCCCCAGGGGGGCCCCCAGGGGCCCCACACTCTCTTCCCTGCTGCGGGCGGGTCTGCCTCTGCCTGCAGCAGCACGGCGAACCCTTTTTCGAGACCCGTCCTGCAGCAGCAGCAGCAGCTGCTGCTGCTGCTGCTGCTGCTGCTGCTGCCGGGCGGGACAGGGCGACGACGCCAGAGCCGTTGGGGCCGCAGCCAGAGAGCTCAAGCAGGCTGCTGCTCCCGTTGCTGCTCTTGCTGCTGCTGCTGCTGCTGCTGCTGAATTCTTTTCCGGAGTTGAGGGGCCCCCTGAGCTTCCCGTGTCTCCGCCTCCGTCTCCGGGGGCCTCCCTGGACTTGCTGCTGCTTTTGCTGCTGCCCTCCTCGCTGCGCCTCAGCTTCGGCCGGCTCGGAGTCCCCGCTGCTGCTGCTGCTGCTGCTGCTGCTGCTGCTGCTGCTTCTGGGATTTCCTCCCCGTGCCGCCTGTGCGGCCGGCGGCCGCGGCCCCCTGTGCCTGGGGGCCTCCGGGCCCCGGGGGACTCTGAAGAGGGCGAGCCTGTTGCTGCTGCTGCTGCTGCTGCTGCTGTTGCTGTTGCTGCTGCTGCTGCTGCTGCTGCTGCGTTCGCGGCGCCGATCGCCCGCAGCGCAGCAGCAGCGCCGCTGGGGAGACAGTCGTCGGAAAGGCTCTGAGGAGACACCCTCTGGGGCCCCTCATCTGCTAGCTGCTGCTGCTGCTGCTGCTGCTGCTGCTGCTGCTGCTGCGCCTCCTGGGGAGCCTCCAGCCGCAGCGGGTCCAGCGAGAGACCCGGCCGGCGCCCGACGACGACATCCGATGCGCTATGGTGCTGCTGCTGCTGCTGCTGCTGCTGCTGCTGCAGCTGCTGTTGCAGTTGCTGCTCCTGCTCCTGCTTCTGATGCAGGTGCTGCTGCTGCTGCTGTTGCTGCAGATGCTCCTGCTCCTGCTGCTGCACATGCTCTTGCGGCTGCTGCTGCACCTGGTCCTGTTGCTGCAGCTGCTCCTGCGGAGGCTGAGACTGAGGCTGCGGCTGCTGCAGCTGAGACTGTGACTGAGACTGCAGCAGCTGCTGCTGACGCTGAGGCTGCGGCTGCTGCTGCTGCTGCTGCTGCTGCTGTGGCTGCTGCTGCTGTGGCTGCTGCTGCTGAGACTGAGGTTGCAGTTGCTCCTGCCGAGACTGAGACTGCGGCTGCTGCTGCTGAGGCTGAGACTGCGGCTGCGGCTGCTGCTGCTGCTGAGGCTCAGACTGAGGCTGCCGCTGCTGCTCCTCCTGCTGCAGCTGCCGCTGCTGCTGCTCCTGCAGCTGCCGCTGCTGCTCCTCCTGCTGCAGCTGCCGCTGCTGCTCCTCCTGCTGCAGCTGCCGCTGCTGCTCCTGCTGAAGCAGCTGCCGCTGCTGCTCCTCCTGCTGCAGCTGCCGCTGCTGCTCCTCCTGCTGCAGCTGCCGCTGCTGCTCCTCCTGCAGCTGCCGCTGCTGCTCCTCCTGCAGCTGCCGCTGCTGCTCCTCCTGCTGCAGCTGCCGCCGCTGCTCCTCCTGCTGCAGCTGCCGCTGTTGCTCCTGCTGCAGCTGCCGCTGCTGCTCCTCCTGCTGCAGCTGCCGCTGCTGCTCCTCCTGCTGCAGCAGCTGCTGCTGCTGCGGCGGCTCCTGCCCTCGGGGCAAGTCTTGCTGCGTTTCCGCAACGCAGGCAAGAAGAGAGCCTTGTAGTCCTGCTGCATCTGCAGAGGGGGCAGCATCAGCGCCGCTGCTGCTGCTGCTGCTGCTGCTGCTGCTGTCTGTGTTGGCAGCCGCCGCAAGGTCCACAGGCTGACTCATTTCCAGAAGGCGCTGGGCGCCCCCAGCCCTTCTGCTGTTGCTGCTGCTGCTGCAGCTTTGTTGGGCAACGAGGCGTCAAAGACACTGTCGCTGCTGCTGCTGTCGCTGCTGCTGCTGCTTTTGCTGCTGCTCAGGACAAGGTGAGACCGGGAGCATAGGCGGAGGCAGCTGCTGCTGCTGCGGGTTAAAGAGATGAAGGCAAGGCTGAGGGTCTCAGTAAGAAAGAGGCGCCACGCAAAATACGACGAAGGGGCCCCAGCAGCAGCAGCAGCAGCAGCAGCAGCAGCGGCAGCAGCGGCAGCGGCAGCAGCAGCTAGGGCAAAACAGCTCGCCGGGGGCCGCAAAACATGAAATTTTCCAATTCAAATACACTTCTTCGGAGCTAGATTGGAGTGTATCCACAGATAAAGGGAATATTTTGCTGCAGCTTCACAGCTCCCTAGACACCTGGCGGGGCGGCTACGGGCCTGCTGCCGCCCGTGGGGGGAAGTGTAGCTCTAGGCTTTGGAGTTTAAACGAATTAAATTATTTTCCATTAAATATTTCCATTTATTAATTGCAGCTTCTCTTTTTTGCGGGAGAAAACGCTGCAGCAAGGCCGCCCGGGTTCGTGCTGCAGGTGTGTCCTGCGGTGGCTGGGACCAGAGTGCATTATGCATAAATTACGAATATTTAAAAGATCCAGCGGCTCTTGAGGCTCTTTATTCTTTTATATTCTGTTTTCTAATGCAAATAAACCTTTCCGAGGGCCTCAAATTTAGTTAAACGCTATAGAACTCCAGGGGCCCCCGCTGCAGCCGCCTTAACCAAACAGCCCGGGCTTGTGCTGCTGCAGCTGCTGCAGCTGCTGCAGCTGCTGCAGGCGAACTTCTATGGGCTGGCAGCAGCTAAGAGGGCCCTTAGGGCCCCACATGCTGCTTCCAGCTGCTGCAGTTGTTTGGTTTGGGGGCCCCCAGGGGCCCCCAAAGCTGGAGTTGGGTTTATTTGTCCTTTAGAGTTGAAACTTAGAAGCAAAAAGGGGCAGTGAAGGGCTGGAAGGCAGAGGGGCCCCCCTGCTGCTGCCCCCCGGGGGCCCCTGGGGAACCCCCCAGGGGCCCCGGGTCACTTGCTGCAGGCAGGGGTGCTGCTAAACCCTAAACCCTAAACCCTAAGGGCTGTAGCTGCCATCACAGGCCCCTGGGCATGCGCTCTGTTCCGTCTTTAGGGTTTAGGGTTTAGGGTTTAGGGTTTAAGGCGTGGGGCAGACTGCAGTTTGAATGTGGGGCCTTTATGCTGGGTGTTTAGGGTTTAGGGTTTAGAGCCCCGCTGCAGCCGCCTTAACCAAACAGCCCGGGCTTGTGCTGCTGCAGCTGCTGCAGCTGCTGCAGCTGCTGCAGGCGAACTTCTATGGGCTGGCAGCAGCTAAGAGGGCCCTTAGGGCCCCACATGCTGCTTCCAGCTGCTGCAGTTGTTTGGTTTGGGGGCCCCCAGGGGCCCCCAAAGCTGGAGTTGGGTTTATTTGTCCTTTAGAGTTGAAACTTAGAAGCAAAAAGGGGCAGTGAAGGGCTGGAAGGCAGAGGGGCCCCCCTGCTGCTGCCCCCCGGGGGCCCCTGGGGAACCCCCCAGGGGCCCCGGGTCACTTGCTGCAGGCAGGGGTGCTGCTAAACCCTAAACCCTAAACCCTAAGGGCTGTAGCTGCCATCACAGGCCCCTGGGCATGCGCTCTGTTCCGTCTTTAGGGTTTAGGGTTTAGGGTTTAGGGTTTAAGGCGTGGGGCAGACTGCAGTTTGAATGTGGGGCCTTTATGCTGGGTGTTTAGGGTTTAGGGTTTAGAGTTTTAGGGCTGCCGCTGCTGGTGAAGATCCTTTCTACAAATTAGGAAACTTTATTTCTTAAAAGTAATTGGATTTGATTATTTTAATTTGAGAAAAGAACCTCATAACACTGCCACGCCACTGCTGCTGCTGCTACATTTGCTGCTGCATTTGCTGCTGCAGCATGCTCTGCTGCTGCTGCTGCTGCATGTGCTGCTGCAGCTGCAGCTGCTGCTGTCTAGAGGGGCAGCTGCTGCTGCTGCTGCAGCTCCCTCTCTAAACTAAATCAAATGCCACTCCAGCCCCAGCACATCAGCTTTAAAGGGGCCCCCAAGGACTTCAAATAATTTAAGAGGGTCTGGGGGCCCCCCAGGGGCCCCCGCAGCAATTTAACCGTCACGTCGTCTATTCCTTTCACTCTTAACGAAGTAGTCTCTCACCGAGGAACGACGACGACGACGACGACGACGACGCAACGAAGGTAAATACGACTAAATTTACGACTTCAACGTAGAAATTACGCAACTGGACTCTTAAGCATGCAAAAGCTGCTCCACTGCCTGTACAAAAGTCGAAAACCTTGACAAGTTTTCGTTTTTAGTTTTCTGTTTCGCACCTGCCGGGCCGCGCAGCTACTGGAATTGACAAAACAGCAGCAGCAGCAGCAGCAGCAGCAGCAGCAGCAGCAGCAGCAGACGCTGCACTGGCTCTGCACAGTCTGCCGGGCAGAAGACAAACGCAAAAACGCAACAAAAATTCTTTACT